CTGGTTTGTCAGGTCCTGGTAACGAGTTTAGCTAGTTCATTAAGAGTTATGATCTTAAGGGAACCGTCAGAATCTAGTTTGACGATACCGTCTCCCTCATCAATATTCATGAGGTATCCAGTATTGCCAGTATGAACTCCTTTAATACACTTTATCTAAAGGAGGGAGAGAGAGAGCAGAAAATAGATTAATCCTTTTTTCCTTTTCCTCTTCACCTTGTCTCCTTTCATCGGTGGCACGTGGGTAAGGAAGGACATTGGTATGTCCACGTCCTGACCGTCGTCATAGAGATATACAGAGACACGCCCACCAACGGCACTCTTGATCACGCCCACTTTACCAGCTAGACTGGAATCCTAAAGACAAATAAAAGAGAAGTGAAATCTCTTCTCTTCGTCTTTACGTGATAAAGGTCTTTGACCATAACTTCAATATCAGGAGGAAAGCCAAGGTCACCTGAGGGGGGCATTAAATATTAGATATTAATATCGTGCTAATTACCAGTGTCAAGGGGGCTCCCAGGGGTCCTGGGACTATATTCAAGATTGCTCCCGGGGGTCATTGGATTATAATTGGTAGGAGACGGAGTGTATTTGTAATCAGATGAGTACATGGGGGTCCTGTGGAGAACGGGAACAATTATTAATTACATGTACACATGTACCTGGCACTGTAGTGTGATCCGTAATGTGAAGAAGAGTTACTCTGGGGTGAGTCAGCAATGTATGCACTGGGAGTGCTGGGGTTGTCATACTGGACACTACCTGGTGTTGCTGGGTTAGCATACGTCTATAATTAATAACTATTACTATTATTATTATTAATTTATTAAGTGAAGCAGCTAACAAAGCAGCTGCAAGATTTACATTTTCCCTCTCTCTCTCTCTCTCCTTACCCCTGAAGGTGAAGGTGCTGATCCATAGTTGGTCCATTCATCAGTTCTCGCTGGAGTGTTGGTAATACTTGGATCCCAAGCACTGCCTCCATGGAGAGGAGTGCGGGAAGGATCATGTGACGGGGTCATGTAACCAGGGTTATTGTAACTAGGGGTACGACCACCTGTCAATAATAATAATAACAATAATAATCATAAAGGTATTGAACTGACCATCTCCACTATGAGAAGGTGTCATTGACCCATAGAGAGGAGTCCTCCCTCCTCCTCCTGGTAATGGGGTCATGTTACCATAGGCCGGGGTAGCAGCTCCAAATTGAGGGGTACGCCCCCAAGAAGACATCATACCAGCACTCTCTTGACCTCTGAGGATAAGTGAGATTAGGGTGAGGTGGGTGTGGTCACTTACGTTATGACTGAGAGGCGTGTCTTGTCAACGTTGATTGTTTGACATTTTGTATGTAATTCAACACGAGCAGTTGAATCAGTGCAGTCTTTAACGATACCGACATAACCTGTAAGGAGAGGAGGAGCATAGCGCTACAGTGAATAATGGAATAAGCAGATTATCAAAAAATGGCTCCAAAATCACCCCCAATTTTTATTACATTTTCTGATGCATATTGATGTCCTTATGCTGTGTAGAAAGTTTGAGTCGATTCAGACTTCAATTTTTTGAGTTATGGCTATTTTAAGAAAATGCCAAAAATCTGAAAAATATAGCCCATGGTTTTTTCCGAAAAATGGCTCCGAAATCACCCCAAATTTTTATTACATTTTCTGATACATATTGATGTACTTATGCTCTGCAGAAAGTTTGAGTTGATTCCGACTTCAATTTTTCGAGTTATGGCTATTTTAAGAAAACGCCAAAAATCTGAAAAATACCCAAGGCTATAGCCCATGGTTTTTTCAAAAAATGGCTCCAAAATCACCCCCAATTTTTATTACATTTTCTGATACATATTGATGTACTTATGCTCTGTAGAAAGTTTGAGCTGATTCCGACTTCAATTTTTCGAGTTATGGCTATTTTAAGAAAAAGCCAAAAATCTGAAAAATACCCAAGGCTATAGCCCATGGTTTTTTTTCAAAAAATGGCTCCGAAATCACTCCAAATTTTTATTACATTTTCTGATACATATTGATGTACTTATGCTGTATAGAAAGTTTGAGCTGATTCCGACTTCAATTTTTGAAGTTACGGCCATTTAAATCTCCTCCCTTACCTTTGTAGGGTCCCTGTATTATCTTAACAGTTTTCCCAATGAGTGACGTGTCACGAGTATTGAACCTTCCTCCTCCTCCTCCCCCGCCACGGCCTCCTCTGCCCCGCCCACCCCCTCTATGAGGACTAGGACTAGCCAGTCGAGGACTCTGAAACCCAGTGAGCGCCTGAGCCTAGAGAGAGAGAGAGAGAGAGAGAGAGGGAAGGGGGGAGAGAGAGAGAGAGAGAGAGAGAAGGGGAGAGAGAGAGGGAGGGAGAGAGGGTTAAAGGGTAACCTGACTATCATGTGACATACGTTACTGGTACTACCAGCTAGCTCAAGGTCCTTCGAACGGGTGACTATGACTCCGCCATTTTCCATGACATTTCGTGCATGAATGAAGACGTATCCTTTGTAGACGTGTTTAACTTCACCTTGTTTACCCTATTAAAAAACAAACAAACAAACAAACAAACAAATAAATAATAAACACTCATCTCCTTACAATATGTGTCCCTTTGACAACTCTCACAATGTCTTTAGCAGAAATTGAGTTCTAAAAATAAAAAACAATATACTAACAGTATACCAACAATATACTAACAGTATACCAATAATATACTAACAGTATACCTGGTGTGAGTCCAGTGCTACGGCTCTGGTCTTCCTCAGTTGGACTGAGTGCTGTTTGACGCTTTGCTCTTTACCGTGCTGAGTCAGCACTTTGAAAACCTCTTTCTCCATTCTAGTGATGACCCCAACAGTCTGCTGGCTGGAGAGGATAGAGGCAGGGAGATAAAGAATTAATTAATAATGATGTACATACTCCAACATGACAAGATCTCCCAGTTGGAAGTGACCTGAGGTGTCCACTCCGCTGCTTTTCTCAAGACACAACTGAAGGTCTCTCGGCCTTACCTTCAACTACATGATAAACAAACAAACAAACAAATAAATAAATAAAAATAAACAATGTTATCTTTTTTAAAACCCACCTCATGCATTGTTAGGTCTACAAAGATGATTGCCAAGTTATTTTCAATCCTAACGACCAGCCCCGTCTCCCCCTCGTGTCTCCCTGCAATCACTTTAACGTGATCCCCAACTTGAAAGAACTTCCTCAATTCTGATATGTTAAACTCCAGCGGATCCTGCAATGAGAAGAAACACTAAAAGTGGCAAGTCCTTGAGGATATTCTCTTATTACTCGTAAGTCCTCGTGTTTTGGTAAAACCGTCACATTATTCCCATCAATCGATATCACTGACCCCTGGAGGTGCATGAGGTCGCCTTCACAGACTTCAACGAGGTCACCAGGCTCAAGACCAGCTGCTCCAATGGCACTACCGCTCACTAGGAGTGGGAATATACAGGAGATCATGTGATTAACAGGTGATACTGTACCTTCTACTTCAACTTCTTCAGGTGTCGCTTCAAACTTTTCTAGTTCACCTAATGTAGGCTTGACTCCTTCAAAAATCTGGAGAAAGAGAGAGAGAAAGAAAGAAAGAGAAAAGAAGGAAGATTTAAAGATGGTTCATTTATTTTCTTTACTTACAATGGCGTTCATTCCAAACTGCTTGTACATGAACCCGTTTCTAAAGTGATTTCCTTCAAACACGAGAAAGTCTCCATCATAAGATATCAGTCCTCCTAACTCTCTAATAATTAATAAAGCACAATAAATGAACGATACCAGCTGGAATAAATTTAAATCATATAAAATAAACCCGCCATTTAAAACCATATACACATGTTCAATGGACACAAGGTCCCCTAATATTAGCAATTTGCTGTACCCCCACATTACCAGCTGTACATTAGCCCTCCATCATTATCCCTGCTATTCTCCCTCTCTCCTCACCTGATGGCCTCTGGATCAAACAGTTTAGCAGGTGGTCGTGATTTTCTTCTCTTCCTATTAGCATCATCATCAGTTCCTTTGAGAGCTCCTTTCTTCGAAGTATAGTCAACCCGAGGGAGCATCTTCAAGACCACCTTATTACGTGAAGTATCAACATAATCAACCTAATCAATAAATAAATAAACAAACAAACAAATAAACATACAAGTGATTAATACTATTTTACCTGTGCAATATCATCCCTGTATATCCCCCTCTTGATCCTGACCCAGGATCCTTGCCGCAGGTTACGACTGGCCGAGTCCTTGACCACACGAAGGACGTCCGTCATTTCATTGACCGGAACCATCATCTGGTTCCATTTGCCCATCGCCAGGTTACCAATGTCCTCTATCGCCTGAGGTGGAGGGGTATGGTGTTTTTTTCAAAGTATTAAATTATTTACTTGTTTGACGTGCTGCTGCTTGTAAGATTCAACGTATATGTAACCATGGAGACCTTCAACAGCTGTAGCACTCTTAATAAGGAGAGGCTAAAAGAGAGAAAGAAAATCAATTAAAGCAGCTGCTAAATGTCTGTTAACAATACCCAGGTGCTAATAAAGATTATAACCAGCTTAATAGTCTACTATAAAAGCAATGATGATACTTACTGTATCAGTGGTTTGTAATGTAATGAATTTCCTCATTAAAGTCATCACTGTCTCTTTCTCTGTACCTATCTGTAACAGGAGAGAGAGAGAGAGAAGGGGTAGAGAAGGGAGAGAGAGGGAGGTTAAGGGAAGGGGTAGGAGAGGAGAGAGGTGAAGAGACTAACCCTGCACTTAACAGTCCACAAGTTTGGATCTCTAAAAACAGAAAGACACACTCAATACAAAACAAGACATCTCTCCTTACTTGACACCTGGTAACAAACTCTGTTGTATTATTTCTCTTGGCTGTTCCTCCATTTCCTCAACACTATATAAGGATGTTTCTCACAAACCACACCCATTAATTATTAAATTACCTAGCCGAAGGAGCTGAAGCATATTTCTGTTTAAGATAAGCCTCCACCTCGTCCTCGTTCTCTTCCGTAAGTATCGTCTTTAACATGAGGTTCCTGGCACCTGTGACATCCCTCTCATCATACACACCTACACACAGTAAAGGGTACAGTAAACACAGCATATTTTAATAGGTACCTGCATCATTTAAATGTTATCATTTACCTTTATCTCTTGGACCGGATGTCATCTTGACAAAGTCGTGTTCCTCTTCTTCATATTCATCTTCTTCATCATCAGTCTCCTCTAAATTAATTAATAAATATTATAAAAACCACACCCACTAAATATAACCTCGTTAATTCTTATTATTATAATAATTATTATTATCATTGTACCAGCTTCATCTTGAATGAATTCAGATCTTGGACGTTTCTTAAAGTGTCCATACTCTCTTTCTTCTTCTTCATCATCTTCTTCTTCCTCCTCCTCCTCCTCCTCTTCCTAAAATGAGTTAAAGTGAAGACAAGAAGAACAAGGAGTGTCTATACTTCACTAAAGGCGGACTCCTCACTGTCTGACATTAGTACAGTCTTCTTTTAAAGCTAAAACAGTAATTCTTCCTCAAGTTTAAGGCAAAATGCAAGAAGGCGGTAATGGACGACACGAGGGTTGGATCACGTGATTTTTTAAATAGGCGGAGTTTAAATGTCATTAATATTTATTAATAGTTATAAATTTTATAACAAGTTTGGAGGTTTAAAAACTTCCTATTAAAAATATTGATACTGTAGACATAGTAAAAATTGCAAGCAAGGTCTCTGCTTGCAAAGACCTCTCCAAAAATTACACGGAATGAGGTACCACCTGCCACAAAGTGACATAACGATGGTACAACAGAGCCACTAGGTATTTGATAACCGGAAACCTCCGGACCAACTGATAGATTGGTCAAGGTATGGAGCCCGGGTCGTACAGAGAACAGCTGGAACTGAGGCTTATAAAGAGAAAGAATAGATCAGGCAATCGTGGGGCGTCCAGTTTTGATAGAATGATAAGATAAGAATACTACTGTTAAAGAATAATTTTGAAGTGATACATGGTAATTAATAATTGGTAAATATAGTGACTATAGTATTAATAATAATAAGTTGAACTTTCATTCATCAACTTTAACAAAGACTCGTCTTTTTGAGAAAATCTTAATGGCATCTTCGATCTCGATCAGTCTTGATTCCAACTGATTCCGTTTAACATTTATTCTCAAAGTATCAGCCGTCAAAGAGAGAGACTGTAGCTCCTTAAGCAACTCATCTTGATCTGTTAAAAGAGAGAGAGAAAGAAGATCAATAATGTCATCCATTGAAGGTTTTAGTGTGAGGTTTTTTATCTTACGTTGCTTGAGAGTCTCCAGTGTCTTCAGTCTATCTGAAGTTGACATGACAACATGACCAGGTGGAACTGTGGGGTCTGGTAAACTGGCGAGTCTCTCCTTCTCTTCTCTCCTCCATTCTTCTTTCCTCTCTAATAAACTGAAAAGAGAATCATGAAGTAAGATCTTCATGACCACAAAAACACAGGATCTCATGTCAAATAATAACAAATAAATAGATGGATACAATACTTTACAAAAACCACATCTATATTTATAAATCTCTGCTTACTATTTTGGGACAGTTCCTTTCTTGTATGACTTGTCAATTCTATCTCTTTTTGCTGTTTCTTCATTCAACTCAACAACCTTTGGCTGCTGCTTTATCGTGTGACAAGAAGCACTTGTTATATTTTCAAGAATAAAGTTTCTTTTTAGCTAAGGAATTAAATAAAACTAGAGAGTAATATTATAGCCAAGCTGTTACCTTAGCAGGTCTGGTCTCAGACTGACTGCTATGCTGCTGCAATGTTGATGACCTTTCTTTAGGCTGTGCTTCAACATTAGTCCCTGACATTGATTGTAGTAATCTGTTGCTGTATTGTGAAGCAGTAGGAGCTGAAGGCGCTTCATTCTCTCTCCCTCTCTCTCCTCTTTCCCCACACTGGACTGTAGCACCAGATGAAGACTGCTACATTGAAATTAATTTAAATAAAATCCTTCTCACTCACCCTCTCTCTCTCTTCCTTACTCGTGGTAGGTAATGTCCCAGTTTTGATGTCACGTGACTGTACTTGTCTTGACGAGGTGGGAGGAGTCTTTCTGCCGATATGCTCTGCTCCCTTTGTCTCGACTGACACCTCACCTGAATCTCACGAATACGTCTCTTGTTAGCTGCCGAATGATTCTTTGGAGTCTCTTTATCTGTTGAGTATATTAATTCTATTAAACATATCAATGTATTTATGTGGCTTCATCAATATGTACATACATTATTTAATATACATTTAGTTTTTACTTTTCCTGGTAGATGATGGTTCTCTGCTCATTCCTTCATTTGATAGAATCATTGCAATTACTCCTTTGGTGTGTCTACTCGCTATCTCTCTTGCTTCAGGCCTGATGCGACCAGGAGGAGAATAATCTGGTATACATAAAATACAAATATTATATTTTTTATGTTGTTGTTTTTAGTGTTATTTTACCTCCATCCAGAGTTTCTGGTGGATAATAATTTGATGTTTTCTCGTAGCCAGGATCAGGAGGCAGGGGACAACGGCCGAGAGGCATAGCTTTGGGCTTTTTCTGGTCTTTCTTTCCCTCCCTTTTGGCCTTTTCCTCAAAAATAAAATTTTTATTGCACCTTGTAACAACCACACCCACAACTAATTGAATTGAAAAACGGAGCTACACAATAGACAAAGTATACGAGGATATACGGAAAGTAATCATTGGTAATTTTTGGTATTATTAATGTCATTTCTGGGTTTTTGCACAGTTAGTATAACTAGTATAATAATGACATGATGTTAATAAATTATTTTAAGCCACAGTGTTCTCAGTGAACGGGCTCTCAACCCCAATGCTTTGTAGCAGCTGTATCAGCCACTTCTTGGTAGCAGAGTCTTCCTTTAGACAGGAGCTAAATGTAGTGTCCTTTAGTTGATCAGGGATTATACGAGTAAGAGCCTCACGTGCCCTATAAATAGCATAAAAACAGATAAATATAGTAACAATGGGTCTAAATATAGTAACATTATAAAAATAAGAACCATAACCCATTAAAATTAAACATGCATACCTGTGGTGATCAGTGAGTCTGAGGTAGCACCTCACAACATGCTTTAAAAGACGAGCCGAAGGTTCTTTAGATAAGGACTCGACCATTTTGTTCTGAAATACATATTACTTAAAACCACACCCATTTATTGACCACACCTACCAGTATCAAAGCGACGTGAGTGAATCTCTCGTAAGTCTGACATATGTAAGCTAGACCGGTCTCGTCCAGGAGGATCTTTTGGAGTATAAAAGTAGCAACAGTTTTTGAGAGCTCACTGCCGGACTCCATTATCCTTAGACAAAGAGGAATGATTTCTGTTGTTAGAAGAAAATGTATCACTTCTTGATCATCTGTCTAGAGAAAGAGAAGAAAACAGAATGAGAGAGAGAGAGAGATGTGTGCCGTACTTTCACAAGAGCTCCTACTACTCCCAAACTAGTTAATCTGAGATACTCAAAAGGTCTATTCTTGCTCACAGTATGTAGGAACGGATAAAGGAACAAAGGAATGTGAGCTGAATAGGAGGAAAGAACTAAAAATAAAGGAGACACCATAATACGTGATACCTCCTAGAAACTGTGACCTTGTCTCCTGGTGTGAAGCCACGCACTGTAACAAAGCCAAAGCATTGCAGACCCTGTTGGACTGTTGGGCCTAAGGAGGAGAGGTATCATTATTATGTACTGTAGTATGATTATTAGGAGAGGTATCATCATCATGTACTGTGATATGATTATTAGGAGAGGTATCATCATCATGTACTGTGATATGATTATTGTGATCTTACAGTTAAAGTTGGAGGATTAATTGCAGGGTATATTGCCACTATTTCTTGAAGAAGAGCCGCCATTGTACCTAATAATAATTATTATTATTATTATCGTTATTATAAAACGAACCAAACGAATGCCATAGCATTGGAGCCAAGTCCGGCAAGACCTCTCTCTTTTTACTAAAATTAAAAAAGCGACATTAGTACTGCATGAACGCCCACACATTTAATTGTAAGCCACACCCACACACCTCAATTCAATAAGTGCGTGCTCTCTAGTCTCAGGATTAATCAGCTCCAGTATCCAGATATAGACCTGGTCCCTATCGACACTAGTAGTACCACTAGCCACCCCTCCTCCACTGGCAGTAGGAGCACCTGTGGTATCACGTGATGCTTCTGAAGACTGCATCCCAGGAGTGGGAGAAGAGACAGAGCGAGCCATTGGAAACCTCTGTGAATATTAGAAATCATGTGAGACCATTTATTGGGACTATTCTCTACCTGGGGTGGCTGCTGTCCAAAGGAATTCGCCATCATTTTTTCAAAATTTTAAATCAAAAGGGTGTGGTGACCACACCCACAACACGATCACGTGATTGGACGTGGATTTTGGTATCAAAATGGCGTCAGAAAGCAACGAGCCAGTTTTGGGGTCTCTGTATCACGTTGAAATGACAGACCACACGTGGCATATGGCCGAGATTATACAGAAAAGAGAGAACATGGATACCAAGAGAATGGAGTACTACGTACACTACAAGGAATGTAAGGAATACTTCAAATATTATTATCATCATCATCATCATTGTTGTTGTTTTTGACACTGTGTGTGTGTTCTTTTGTACAGTTAATAGACGTATGGATGAATGGGTTGGCTCCGAGAGGATTTCGCTGGACGAAGGTCCTTTAGAGGAAGCACCAAAAGAAGACAATCTATTGGACTCTTTGAATGGACGAGAGAGAACAGTAACAAGAAACATAAAGAGAAGACACGATGAGATTAATCACATACAAAAAGTAAGAGAGAGACGGAGGGAAGCAGCTGGTTATAATTATCCTCTTTTTTCAGACGTTTGATGAAATGGACCCAACTACAGCTGCTCTAGAGAAGGAGCATGAAGCACTCACTAAGATCAAATACATCGACAAGATTCACATTGGGAAATACGAAATCGACACCTGGTACTTCTCGCCTTATCCTGAAGAGTACGGGAAAGTCCCAAAGCTATGGATCTGTGAGTACTGCCTCAAGTACATGCAGTATGAGAAGACCTACGTAAGACACATGAGCGAGTGCAGCTGGAGACAACCGCCTGGCAAGGAGATATACAGGAAAGGTAATATATCCATGTTTGAATTGGATGGACGCGATCACAAGATTTATTGCCAGAATCTCTGCCTGTTGGCTAAACTCTTCCTTGATCATAAAACCCTTTTCTTTGACGTGGAGCCATTTTGGTTTTACGTTTTCACTGAAGTTGATAGAGAAGGTTGCCATATTGTGGGATACTTCTCAAAAGTAAGCAGCTGTTTTACTTTAAATGAGTTGTGTCTTCCTTTCTTTCTCTTTACAGGAGAAGGAGAGCATTGAGTGCAATAATGTCGCTTGTATTCTCACTCTGCCTCCATACCAGCGAAAAGGATACGGAAAGTTCCTAATTGCCTTTTCTTACGAGCTGTCAAAATTAGAAGAATGTGTAGGATCTCCTGAAAAACCTTTGTCGGACCTTGGGAAACTAAGTTACCGAAGCTACTGGACCTGGGTGCTACTGGATATATTGAAGAATGCTTCTGGATACGTATCCATTAAAGACTTGAGGTTAGTACTCATCTCTCACTGACCAGCTGCTACAATACAGTACATGACTTTCTGAGAGTTATAAAAAATTACCACCTGGCATATTTACTGGTATTTGTCACTATTTGAATTCTATAACTGAACAGAACACGATCTGTTACGCTCCTGTGTAAAGGAAGTACAGTCTGTTTAGCTTCATGACATGTGACATTAAAAAATTATTGATAGTTACAGGGCCCCATAATAGGAACCCTTCCAAAAATTTTTGAACCCATGATATTAAAAGTAATGTAAACAGGTTTATGTTCAGTTTGTATGAAGGTCAAAGAGGCTGTTCCTTTTATACTCAGCTAATTGTAAAAGGTATCATGGGTTGCCTGATAATGTGGTTAACACTCTTGTACTTGTGTAAACTGTCTAATAATACAGTTCCTGGACTTTTTAGCAACTTTAAAAATTCGTAAAAAAATCCAGTTTTGACTGGAATCAGCTCAAACTTACTACACAACATAAGAACATGTATATGTATCAGGAAAAATTATAAAAATGGAGAATTCTTAAAATTTCATTTTGCCAAAATTTGGCCAAAGACCATGTACACATGTACAAGGGGCTTTGATCAGAATCAGTTCAAAATTTCTACACAATATACATGTAAGATGTAAGTACATGTACATGTACACATTTTGCCTATATTTTTTTCTTTTTTAATCTTGTTTTATCCTTCATATACAATCTCTCATTCTCTAGTGCTACTACCAGTATATCACAGGACGATGTTCTCAGCACACTACAAGCTCTTAACATGGTCAAGTATTGGAAAGGACAGCATGTGATTTGTGTCACTCCTAAAGTTGTTGAGGAACACATGAAGAGTGCTCAGTATCGCAAGCCACTGCTAACTGTGGACACAGACTTCTTAAGGTGGGCTCCGCCCTATAAGAAACTAAAGACTACAAAGAGACATTGAGGGACCCTCTACATTCTGTCAACACATTCTCTCTCTCTCTCTTTTCCTTTTCTTTCTGTTGTACATATTAAGGTCATTATAAATGTATTGATTGAAATTTTCTAAGCATTAAAAGATCATTTAAGTCTGATTGGTTTATTTTGCAAAACAATCATGTTCTTTTTAAGTTCCTCAATCTCTTTCCCTTGTCTTGATACCTCCCGTGCCATCTTTGCTACCACCGTCTTCATTTCTTTCATTTCCTTCTTTAAATCTTCATTCTCTTCTGTTAATGTCTTTGTTGCCATGGATACAAGTAATAGATGTTCACTCTCTGATCTCTCTGCATGGATTTCATGGTCACCACGGAAACCAATCCATTTGCACCCCGCCCACTTGTAATCACACTGGACATCAACTAGCGGACACTTCTCGCTTAAATGCTTTTTCATTTGTTTCCGTGGCAACTTAAGCCCCGGCCTACAATTATTGGGACATGGGATGGGATAGAGTGGACACACCCCCAAATGAGATGTGGTGATGTCCCTGTGTTCCCCTGTTGCCAAACAATAGGTACAAGACACTGTCCTCCTAATACAGTGATTCCCTTCATGGTCAGTCAGCTTCCATCTGGTGTCCTTGTGACCACACCCATTGCCACACTTTACGACAGGATAGAGACACTCCCCCTGTCTCTTATCACGGCTCATGTGATCTGAGAGACCTTGTAACTGACCAATCCAATCACAGGAACTATCGTTATAAATACACTTCACTCTTAGGCCATTAATGGTTCTTTGTAATCCTTTGTCAATCATTACTTCAAAATTGGAGGCTTTACATAGCGGACACTGTGGGTTTGTTCTCTTCGAGGAATTGATGCAAGCACCACAGAAATGATTACCACAGCAGGATATAATATAAGGATCGTTAGTCATCACCTGAAAATATTCATAAAAAAGAAGTAATAATTAAATTCTTTATTTTTTCAACATTTAATCAATATTGCTGTCTTACTTGAAGACAGATTGGGCACTCCAGGTGCAGGTGATCCGGTATGTCATCCAAAAAGTTCAATTCATCAACTGAAAACGTTTCAGGTGGACTAGAACTGAATGCAGTAACAAGTGTTTGACCCATTTTGAAAGAAGGGCGTGGTCTTATAATGCAATGGGCGTGGTTTGAATTTTAAAATTCTATTACGAAACCGGAAGTGTTCTGCCATTATTAAAGAGAAGGTGAAGGTGTGGCTCATTTTATTTTTTCCTGATCATCATGGCAAAGAAGGTAGCTCTCTGACTCTTTCTCATTTTAATGAAATCCTTTTCTGTTTCTGTAGATCGTTCTAAACAATGGAGTCCACATGCCAGTGCTAGGATTGGGGTGAGTCACATAATTATTAAACTCAGTACTTTTAGCTTTGTAAATACATCATGGGCAGTTTATACTGAATGATAGGACTCTTGGTAATAATGAGCTATTTACTTTAATGTGGAGTATAATTAGTAAGGTTATGTTAGTATGATAATGTAGAGTAGAATTGACTCCTTTATTCATGGTTGTCCCAAAAGTTGAATGTGTTTGATGTTATTTTTGTGTGTGGAAGTTCATGCAGCATACAATAACAGCATCCGGACTGTACAGCAACAAAAATCTGTGAAATAATTTAAAAGGAAATTTCTATTATCATATTGAGTTGATTATAGTATAATGGTTTCATACATTTGGCATTGATACGGCAATCATTGGCACTGTTGCACTGTTCCTGCTATCAAGTTGTGTTTCTTTTGTTACAACTACTACCTACTTTGCAACCATCACAAATTAAAGAATAATTCTTTAATTAAAAAGATAATAAGCCACTATATCAGCTATTGTACTAATGACCATTAATGGCTTGTCTGGTAAGTGCTAGTTGATATAAGGACACAGAAAGAATGCCTAAAGTCACCCAGGCATCATTGCATTGCAGTAATGAGTGATCACACAATTCTGAAGCAGTTTTGTCTAGTCACTAATATTCTTCAGACGATGATGTAATCATTTTCATTAATATTATATTATTATAGTACATGGCTAGCCGATCCATTTCCTGGGTTGACTGGGCCAGCAGTCGAAGCAGCAGTTAGAGAAGGATACCGTCACATAGACTGCGCCTTTATATATCAGAATGAGGAAGAGATTGGAGAGGCTCTTGAGAAACTTTTTAAAGAAGGAGTGGTGAAGAGAGAAGACATGTTCATAACAAGCAAATTATGGTAAACTAAGTTGCAATGAGTAGTATACTGAAGCTGTAGTTTGTATAATCTCATAGGAGTTGCTATCATGATCCTAATGATGTTGAGCAAGCTTGCAAGGAGAGTCTTGAGAGGCTTAAATTGGATTACATTGATCTTTTTCTGGTATGTGCGATGATAATAATGATATTTTTCATTGACCTTTTGCTGCATAATAGATACACACTCCTTTTGGAGTAAAGAGAGGAGAAATATTCCCGACTCCTGACACAGTCCTGGGATATGATGAAAAGAAAATGACACTAACGTGGAAGGTTAGAGTAATGATAGTTATAATGTGCTTGGAATCAGCTCAAGGATAAGAGCATCAGAAAATGTACTTTTCATAGGCAATGGAAGCTCTTCTTCCTCTTGGCCTAGTGAAGGCTATTGGTGTGTCAAACTTCACTATAACAAAACTGGAGGCATTGTTACCAACTGTATCAGTCATTCCAGCTGTTAATCAAGGTATGGTTCATCTAGCCTGCCCCTCCATTATTCTCTTTTTCTTAGTGGAAAGTAATCCTCAACTTCTTCAACGCAAGTTACGAGAATATTGCCGGCTTAAAAGTGAGCCAATTACATACATATTTGTAATACTCTTGAATGCCCTACTTGAGTACTCCCTCCCTTGAATACTCCTTCCCTTGAATATATACTCCACTATTACAGGCATCACTTTTGTTGGTTACTCTCCTCTTGGATCTCCTGGCAGGCTTGAAAAAGAAAAAGATGATGTCAATTTGCTAGAAGTTAAAGTCATCAAGGACATTGCAGAGTCACACGGTGCCACTCCTGCTCAGGTATACTGACAGTATCCCATGATGATATGTTTGTATATTGCATTAATGTTTGTATACATTGTCTACTTGTTTATTTTGTCTGAATGTTTACTGATGTTTCATATAAATGCATGCATGATTACTAAGTATAATGTGAAGAAATGTATTTTTTATGTTTTTTAGATATGCATTGCCTTCATGCTGAGCCTCGGTGATGCTACCATACCAAAATCCACTGACGAGTTGAGAATAAAAGAGAACTTTGCAGCTAGTAAGATCCAGTTGGAAGATCATGAGATACAGCGCATGAAGCAGCTTGATAAAGGATACAGACGCAACACTTATGACTGGCTGCTCCGACCAAAAGTGGACTCTGTTGAGACTGCATGGGATATTGAGTCTGATTCTGCTTTTGTGATTGAAAACGATAAATAACATTTTAAATATATATTTTTATGTGTATTATTTTTGAGGTTTTATTGTTATAGCTTAAAGCTTGGTTTGAGCATAGATATTATAGACCATAATCATAGATATCAGAGTATTAGATTTCATTTACTCTAATATCTATGATAATATTTATGGTTTGAGCCACACCTTTTTGTTGAGCCACGCCCTTCACTTTGCAAAGTGCAAACAGAAAAATGGCCGCCAACCCTGAAGGAGGAGAAAGAGCAAAGAAAAGCGACTGGCATACCAAGCCAATGCCAGAGGAGTGTACAACGATTGAAATGAACACCAAGTACTCGACTGAGGCCATGAAATACATACGAAAAGGGACTGTACCAGAAGAAATGGAAGACAAGTGGTTCATGTATTATGAGGAGGAAGAGGACAAGCTGTACATGCATAGGAGCTGGACTGGTTTTTGTGTGTATATTTTAAAGTTTGAAATTCACGAGGATGGCTCTGGATCAGTCGTATCAATGATTGTGAATCGAAATTCTGAAGAATATCTTTCAACTGATGACGAGAAAGATGCTGATTCTGCAGTGGACATCTTGAGGTGGATACTTTATGCTGACCCATCTTAACAACTGTCCTTGTGGACTTTTTAAAAGACCACCATCTAGAAATATTTTTATAGTGAAAATGCAATATAATGTATACATAGATCGACCTACATTCTTTTTCATTATATAATTTATGCATTTAGAGTGGGAGGTGTACCTAGTACTATTAGTACTATAGTAAAATAATCTTAATTAGTCTCATAGTGAAGATTCAACACTGTCTCTAATTCTAATAATAGACTCCTTGTTCTAAAAATAGAAACGCCCACGTCATACGAGGGGACGTATCGGATTGGTCGTGTCAATGGATGACGTCATACTAATAACAGATCTGATCCACCAAAAAGGAGACATCAGCTCAGAAAGGGAGTCACAAACATTTCATCTTCTCTCTCTCTCTTATTTCATCTCTGGAGGCATTCTAAAAGGCGCTCTCTGTGTTTATTAGCCAGTCAGTAGTGTTATTGGACAAAGGTGAGGCTTGTTTGGTAGAAGGCGCCCCTATTTGACAAATGATCCGTAACGAGGTTGTGAAATTTGAAACTTTTTGATGGAGTTTTTGTATATAATACTCTGATATTGTCTGTACTCCAATGTGTATGTGTAATGGGTTATGTATAATAACAGTATCTTTAATATGTGTTTCATTAATGCTATGTGTTTATCTATAAAGGATTGTTACTCTTTCAGTCTTTCTCCCCCCCCTCTCTCTCTCCCTCTTTGTCTCAAAAGTGGTTTTAAAAGGCTGCCCCATGCCACCTGTTTCTCCCTTCATGTGTTTATTACTTTACCTTTGTTGTGGCTCTGTTTCTCCACCCACATTACCTTTAAATTTTCTTGTGGGCGCTCAATTTCTCAAATACATGTTCATGTACATACACCATGTCTTCTTTATGTTATGTCTTTCCCTAAAATTATGTTTATCTTGTTTTTAAAGCTTCCACTACTACACAATTATTATAACCTATTCTTTATAAAACAGACCAGCCATTATGCAAGGGCTGTTTAAAATGTAGTTGGAGATTCTTTTCACTGCCTATTGTGTCAAGCGGTGTTTTCTGTTCAGTTCCGTTTGATCTTTTGTCTGTCCGTGTAAATGTATGTATTTTTATTCATCCTTGCTGTATTCTTTTATATTGTGTGTACTGTGTGTGTTTGTGTGTCTCCTAACTCTTCCTGTGTGTTTGGCAATGTGTCCTCTTGTTGCTCTCTCTTGGGCCGACCGTGTTGTCAGGATGACACACACTTTGTTTACTAACTAGTCTTCCAATGTTGTGAACAATCTTGTTTTATTTTTAATGTCTTTGTTATCCTCTCCCTCTCTCTCTCTCTTAGTGCTACACAATGGGGAAGAAACTAGCTAAATTATTTGGTAAGAAAGATATGAGGATTCTTATGTTAGGTCTTGATGCTGCTGGAAAGACAAGTAAGTCCTGCCCTAGTCATGAGTCTTTGTATGTACATGTATACTTTTTGTTGTTTTTTAAGAGTGGGCGAGAGAGAGAGAGGAGGAGGGAGAAAGTGAGGGAAAATATACAATACCTTCTTTAGATGCATCTACACTCCCTTCTTCTTCTAGCATTAGTCTCCTTGATGCTTTAAATATCTCTTTGTGCCATATTTGCTCACTTCAAAACTTTAACAGTTTATGTGTCACCTTTGCTACCTCTCTTTCCTCTTTGCGTGAATTCATTCTTCACACATAAGGACATGTCACTTACTAACTTTAGATTGTGAATACACTGTCCTTTATTCATCCTTCACTGAGGCTATTGTGTACACATGTAGACATGTAGTCATGTACGTGCATTAAATTAAGACCTCTCTAAGCTGCATTTCTCTCACATCTATTGTACATGATATAGATACATGTACATGTATTTATGATTATTAATGTACTTGTCTCTCTCTCTCTTTCTCTTCTCTAGCTATCCTCTACAAGTTAAAGCTAGGCCAGAGTGTTACCACTATACCAACTGTAGGATTCAACGTGGAGACTGTTACATACAAGAATGTCAAATTCAATGTCTGGGTATGTATTCAGTTGACACTGTTAGGTTACATTTTAATTAATGCACTGTCACACCTACCCCTCTTGTTTTCTAATTAATGCACACTTTAATGTATTCAACTGACATTCATTTATTTATTTATTATTCTTGAGTAATTCACAGTCATGATTCTTAACATAAGCCCTCCCATTTTATATTTAATGTCCATGAAACTGCAGGTGTTGCTATTACATATATAATTTAAAATGCATGTATATTAATGTACTTATCATTAAAATGTACATGTACATATACATACATGTACTATTATAATTATGTTGTATATTTACATAATATACTCTCTCTCTCTCTCAGGATGTAGGAGGACAGGATAAGATTCGTCCATTATGGCGTCACTACTACACTGGTACCCAGGGACTCATTTTTGTCGTAGATTGCGCTGATAGAGATCGTGTTGACGAAGCCAGACAAGAGCTTCACCGCATCATTAACGACAGAGAAATGAAGGACGCCATCATATTGATATTTGCTAATAAACAGGATCTACCGGATGGTAAGAGAGAGAGAGAGAGAGAATGTGTGTATGTACTTGTATGTAGGGCAAAGAAGGATTGGTGTGTTTGGTTGGGTCTTTTGGTATGTGTTGTTTTCTAATTAATGCACACTTTAATGCTATGTAATGTGGGCCAGAAATTCATAAAATCTTTTTTTGAATAAAATCAGAAAGGAGCTCCATGTAAGCTGGTGACTTGGCTCCTTATCAGAAAGTGTCAATAGATTAGAAGACACTAATAAATGTACATGTACATGATATACATGTACATGAAGGAGAGAGTTTGGTAAGGAGGAAGGGAGGGAGAGGGGGAGGATAAAGGGAAAAGGAAAGAGGATATAAGTTAAATATTCTGTTGTCCTGTTTGTTTTCACGACACTAATGTCATATTTGCAAACATACCCTATATACTGAGGGTATCAGTATTACTCATTCCACATTGCTTGTGTAGGATTAGCTCACCACAGCAACTAACAGTATGACCTAATTCTACTAAGAATACTGCACTAACTGCAGTAATCTAATTGACACTTTATATAATCATTAGTAACTGATTCCAATCAGTGATTCAACCTGCCTTGACTCAAATCAGTGTTTCAATCTGCTTTGATTTTAATCTATTAATAGAGGTCAGGGGGTGTGTATCATTTCCTTGTTCTGTTATTTTTGTAATATACAAAAGGTGACCTTTCCTAGATTAACAGTTCTGTATGTGCATGTGCATGTAATGTAACATGTATTAAACTGTAGTATGAGAACAGGCTTCTTTATGGGATCTATTTAGTCTTTAATGAATTATCACATGGTCTGTGTTGAATGGTGTAGACATTTACACCTTCTGTTCTTGTTAACTCCCTCTCTCTCTCTCTCACTCTCTCTCTCTCTCTCTCTAGCAATGGCTCCGGTTGAAATACAGGAAAAGATGGGACTAGCAAAACTACGGGACAGAACATGGTACGTTCAGCCGTCCTGTGCTACAAGTGGTGATGGTTTATATGAAGGACTAACATGGCTAACGTCAAATCATAAAAGTTCCTAAATTATTATTGTCATTATTGGTTATTATTATTGTCATTATTATTATTATTATTATTATTATTATTATTAGCAGGCTAGTGAGTGTTGCTATATGTTAAAACTTAAATTTAATTCAAAACTTTATTGTGCATGCACTAATGGTTGTTATTATTATTATTATTATTATTATTTTGACATTTTAATTTTTGTTCCTCTCTTTGAGCGATATAGGCAGCTTGTGTCTGCTTGTGATACTCGATCTCTCTTCATCTTTCACTCTCTCTCTCTCTCTCTCTCTCGCTTTTCGCACATGTTCTGTGTTAATATATTATTGTAATTATTATTATTATTATTATTGTTTTGTTATTATTATTATTATGTGAATAAGTTTTAGTTATGTCACTTGATGTTCTTGTTCTTGTTACTTCACATGTCTTTAATTGCAGAACAACGCACAGTTAAATAATTTATTTTTAATTATTAATTTGGCTCTAATGATAATGATCCTTTGTGTGTCTTGTTCTGTTAACTAGAGTTGAGGACTTCCAATAGTTAATTGCCGGCACATTACTGATTATCAAGTAGTAAATTCTTTTCAAATCAAGTTTATGAAAAGGGCCAAAATAGATAAATAAAATTAAACACTCGTTAATATTATTGAATCAATAAATAAACTACAGTTCCTAATAAATAATGATAAATAAGTTTTTGTTCTTCGTTATATTATATAATGATGCTTTAGTGGCTGGCGGAATCATCAGAGCATTCTCCCAAAATGTCTTCTTCCCAGTCCTGAAGGACAATAGTCCTTACCAATACCTCTGTCACTTCGTACGGGTCACAATTAGCAGCTGGCCGACGATCTTCCAAATAGCCACACCCATCCTTGTTGACTTGACGAGGTATTCTAATTGATGCCTCCCTGTTGGCAACACCACTTGAGAAGTCATAAATTGATGAGGTCTCATGTAAACCAGTCAGCCGACGTTTATTATCTTCACCCTGTTTAGGATCGTAATGCTTAATGTGGAGATCATGATACTTGCTCAGTTCCTCTATCCCTTCCTTGATGTACTTGATTCCTCCTCCTTCTCTCATTTGAACTGTACTGAAGTTACAGTGAGCACCTGCTCCGTTCCATTCTTGAACCGGTTTAGGATCGAGAGTGACAACCACGCCCAATTCCTCTGCAAGACGGTGCAGGATGTAACGAGAGACCCAAACTTGATCCCCAAGTGCAATACCTTCGCAGGGACCTATCTGATACTCAAACTGGGATGGCATCACTTCAACGTTGGTTCCGGATATTTCAAGTCCAGCATAGAGACAGGCTTTATAGTGAGCGTCCATTAGTTGACGACCGAAAACCTTGTTAGCACCCACCCCGCAGTAATAAGGACCCTGGGGGCCGGGAAAACCATTCTTAGGCCAGCCCAGTGGGTGCCCATCAGTATCGAGTATCGTGTATTCTTGTTCAAAGCCGAACCAAGGCTTAGAGGCAGCTGCTTTGCTCATCACTTCGTTACAGGATTCTCTGTGATTTCCTGCAGTCGGTTTGCCCTGAGAGCCATAAGTGGCACACATCACCAAGATACTGTTGCCACGAAAGAATGGATCAGCATAAAAGGCAACCGGATGAAGGTAGACATCACTGTTCTTGCCTACACTCTGCTTAGTGCTGGAGCCATCGAAATTCCATATAGGAAGATCAGCAGGTGTCTTTGGCCGTTTTGGAAGAGTTTTAGTCTTTCCTCTTATGTTTTCGCTGGACCCGTCCACCCAAAGATAAGTAGCCAAGCAGATATCAGGATTCTGCGGCTGGAGCTCAAAGTAAGGCCGTAGTACCGAAGCGGTGAGAGTTGTCATCTTCACGAGTCTGGCTTGGCTCTTTGTCTAGTCGTCCGCCTCTTGTGAGGTGAGATGTTATAGTGGAGAGAAAGGAGATATAGAGAAGAGAGTGAGCGGTGATCTCCTTCACTGTCATTCAACAGGTGGAGACTTTCAAGTGGTTTAAAACTTACTGGCTGTCTTTTAAAACAGTGGGAAAGGGTTCCAGAGACTCTGAGTGGCGTTACTGGCTTGTGGAATGGATAGAGTGAGCGAAAATGACCTGTTGCGGTCTCTTTGAGGACAAACTCGACAAAGAAAACGGCAGGTGGGAACTGGGAAGTCTTTGGCGGGAAATTATCAATTCATGGCTTCATGCACATGTTTTGCATGTGCAAGAAACGAAACCGGAAATGAATATTAATTTCCTGTTTCATATTCACTTCCGGTGTTAACCGGAAGTTGTTAGTCATTGTGACTCATTTCCTGTCTTTATTATTAATTTCCATGGACGCTATTAATTTTATTTTCACGTAGAAAAAAGGAGTAGTAGGAGACGTTTTCTTCAATGATCCCTAGACTTTGTCACAGTAAATTTAAACCAGAGAATTATAGGCTCCCCTCAGTCCCACAGCATGGCAAAAACAAACTAGTAACCACTAAACTTTGTGAGCAGGTACCATCATTACAAAAATTTGAAAAAAATAATTTTTACATAATTTTTTAACAGTTATATAGATCACCATGTAGATATGATTTTGATGCTACAACGCCTAGAGAGTACATGAAGCCAGCACTAATGGAATACAACAGTCTTTACGATCCTCATCTGAAATCTTATTTCTATCGTCCAGACATTGCTGAGAAACTAGTGCAAAACGGTTTTGTGACCGAAGAACTTGATGTACTAATGCCGTTAAGGACTTACAATATATTTAGAAAATTCATGGAGAATGAGTTTCTACGAACTCATAGACAAAAGGCAGAGGAACAGGAAGTAATGATAATACATTATGGAACGTGATTGCTGCATGAATAATACATAATGTAACGTGATTCCTCTTTTATGTTTTCATTATCATAGCCTAGATGTAGCAAGATTAAGTTAGCTAGGAAAGCAGCGATACTGTCAAGCAGAACCGTCAATCATGAGAGAGAAGAAAAGAGGAGGAGGTTTTTGTTAGAGCAAGAACAAGCAATTCAATTGAGGAAGATGAAATTGGAGGAGGAGAGGAACAAGGAGATACAGAAGAAAGAAGAAGAAGCAAAATTGAGGAAAATAGCTCAGGAGAAGTTAGAGGCTGAGCGAGATGCTGAAAGGGAGAGACTACAAATATTAAAATTTGAGAGAACAAAACAGGTAAATGATCTAGAAGGTGCAATAGGTGTATGTATGTATCTTTTAGGAATACTTGAGGCGAAAGAAACTTTATGCAAAGGAGAAGGCAATGCAGGACCAGCGCCTCACACAACTTAAGGAAAGCAGACAAAAGCAAAGAGAAGATCAATTTACTAAAGTAGATATTAACATAGGAAGCATGTTAGGTTTGATTGCAATCTCATGTAGCGTGAGAATCTGTTGAAACAGCACAAGGAACATCATCAATTGCTGTCAGAGAAAGAGGAAGAACAAAAAGCAAAAATACAGCAACTAAAGTTGGAGAGACTAAAGCACAGAGAAGAGCTTTATCTGACATTACAACACAGAGAAGAAGGTGAGAGAGCATTTAATACAGTGTAATAGTTCACTGGCATTATTCATATTGTATAGAAAAGAAGAAAAAACTGATGGAATTTCATCGAAGGAAAAGTGTCGAATTAAAAGAAGAAGCGGATCAGTTTGAGCGACACTGGAAAGAAATACACGATCATGAGATTGAGGAATGTCATCGTAAAATACAGCGAAAGAAAGAGTTTTGGCTACAAAGAATGAACCCAGCACTGCAGCAGCAGCATCAGAAGAAAGATGGAATCATCTCTGATAAGAAAAGAGATGGATCAATGATCAATTGCTTTCAAGGAACTCTTTACTATCAGAATCACAAAGACTCTTTACTGATAGACTCTGTAAAAGGGAAAAAGAGCTCACATGATGACAGGGAGAGAAGTGAATGCTCTGAAGGAAAAGTATCAGCAGTTTCCGGAGACAGCTCATATAGTGAAGGAATGAAGGATGGCGAGAGGATTAATGAAGATACTAGCAGTTCAGCTCATGGAAGTAGAAAAAAGAAAGTTACTTTCGGTGAAGCAGAGTGTATTAATGATGAAGATGAACCAACAAACAATGATGATAACAATAATTAAGTATGCAAGTCTGATGATTGTTTAGCTTTAGATTTTAGATCCAATAGTATACTGATGAGTTTAGTTGATGATGTATCAAGAATGATACTATACTGTGAATAAAATAAAGTTATTTTAGTAATGAAACTACCAAGTGAAATTCTGCAGTAATAATTCACTGTTTATTTTAGTTTTAATTTCTGTTTCAAGTCTCTGCTTGTCTTCTTGTAAAAGTACAAGTCTTTCTCTAATCCTTTGATCTTTTTCTTCAAACGAGTTACCTCATCTTCCTCCTCATCAATAGCTGCTGCAGCCACTGGTTCTACTGACTGGACGCTCTCAGTCATGTGACATATCAGAGTATTGACTTGTTTCACATGCTCCTATTGAAAAGCATAAGCTATTCTTTCTCCTTCTCTCTGCAATCTAACCTTCTGTGACTTGGTCATTCTTCTTTGTTTGTCCATTTGCAATTGAGTGAGTGATTGTTTGAGCTTCTCAACATTTCCTCTCTCCTCATGAAGCAATGAGCATAATGTCTCTCCCTCTCTCTCCTTCTCCTTCAATGCTTCTTCTAGTGATGATATTCTCAATACAGACTGGATCAGGAGAGACTGGGCTTCACTCTGTGATAATCCATTAACTTTACACTTTAAGTGATCTTCATCAGAATGGTATGATAATAGGTTCTGCTGCTGGTCTGAGGATGATGATGTAATTCTTGATTGAAGTGACGACATCTTTAATTGGAGGCTTGTCTCCAGGACTTCAATTTGCTCTTGTAACTCTACTATCCTGTGAAAAGAAGAAATCAAATTAATGATATCAGCACAAAGATGAAATCAGAATCAGTGTTATATCAGAATCAGTGTTAACTCAATCTTCACACCTCATTTCCTCTTCCTGATTCAATACTCTACCCTTGGATAATTGATCTTCAAGGAGTCTCTTCTTTTCCAATATGCAATGACTAAGAATGTTATCATTACTATTATCAAAATAATTATTATTTAAACTACTCACTGCTTATCAGTTAGACTTCCTATTTCATTTTGAAGACCTTCACCTTCTGAGACAGAACATTCATCAAGAGAATCTGTTAAAATATTTAAATAATTATTCAAAATAATTATGAGAATTTCTGAAAAAATTCCCTCTACTATAGCCCATTGTTTTTTCCAAAAAAATGGCCCTGAAATCACGCCCAATTTTTATTACATTTTCTGATACATATTGATGTACTTATGCTCTGTAGAAAGTTTGAGCTGATTCTGACTTCAATTTTTCGAGTTACAGCCATTTTAAGAAAACGCCAAAAATCTGAAAAATACCCAAGGCTATAGCCCATGGTTTTTTTCCAAAAAATAGCTCCGAAATCACCTCCAATTTTTATTACATTTTCTGATACATATTGATGTACTTATGCTGTGTAGAAAGTTTGAGCTGATTCCGACTTCAATTTTTTGAGTTACGGCCATTTTAAGAAAACGCCAAAAATCTGTAAAATATCCAAGGCTATAGCCCATGGTTTTTTCCAAAAAATGGCTCCGAAATCACCCTCCAATTTTTATTACATTTTCTGATACATATTGATGTACTTATGCTGTGTAGAAAGTTTGAGCTGATTCTGACTAAAATTTTTCGAGTTATGACTTGTGGACTGTCTGACAATGTTAATATAATTAAAGTACTAATTTTTGACCTTTAAAATTTTGTTTTCCTTTAATCTGACAAGACAAAGACTCCAGCTGGTCCGAGAGGTGAAGGAGACTCTGAGAGGAACGTAGTTCTGCCTGTCTCCTCTTCTCTTGTAAGACGGTTCTTTCCTTCAACATCAGCTCATGCTGTCTCACTAATGATTCCCTTTCTTTAAGATCCTGGGAATAAAGACTAGTCAATAACAATGGATCCTCAAGCAAACACTTAATTACCTTTTGAAGTCTATCCAGCTGTTCCTTCTTTTCTGATATTTTTTGGACTTCATCCTCCAACCATTTATTATACATGTGTACACTTCTAGTGAGAAAAGAAAAATAATAATAAAATACTCAAACTACATTGTAATATCATTATATTCTATTACTTTGATTCAACTCCACTTGTTTCTGTTTTTGGCCTTTTGATTTCACGTAATTTTCTCTGAGCCATGGCAACCTACGTAGCAACGGTGACCATAGCAACAACCAAAAGGGCTCACTTCTTCAGTTTTGATTTTAAGCACATTTCCTTGTTGAACTGTTAGTTGAGTCAGCTTAGACACTTCTTTCTGATATTTCTCCATTTCTTTTTCCAACTCTCTCTTTCTCTCTCCTTCCTCTCTCACTTTCTTCTTCAAGTGTGCTTGCTTGTTTCTCAGTCGTTCAAGTTCTCCTTCCAATTCCGCTATCTTTCTCTCGCTCTTCTCTCCTGTCTGTAGCAAACGAAGAGTTTCTTGTCTTCTCTTTTGTAATGTCGCTAGTTTCGTCTCTGTTTGTTTCAACTTTATTTCAAGTTCTTGTTTCAAATCATCAGTTCCTTTGGACAGCTGCTCTTGATCTTCATTGATTGAATGTCCTACAGCACCTGGGTCTAATCTACTGTCACTACCAGCAGTACTAATCTAAAATTCAAATAGTATAATTATTCTTTATTTATTTATTCATTTATTTTTACTTTTTTAATTTTCTTTTTAACATGACACGCCTCTGTTTCTAACGAGCTGATCTTTCTCTGATAAGCATCGTTAAGTGATTTAATTGATTTATTATTCTTAATGAGTTCTGTAATTAACTCCTCCTTTAATCTGTCAATAATTAATAAAAATAATTAATAATTAATTTTTACTTTATTTTTAAATTAAGTGATCTAATTTTCTGCTGCTCCTGCACAAACCTGTAACGATAATATACGAGCAAGTATACTGAAATATACAACAGTATACTGACCATTTCTCCATTGATTGCAATCTCCTTTGAGATGCAATTACACTTTCATTTGCTTGAACTAATGAATCAGTCACATGATTATCACATGACTGATCAATGACATCATCACTTAATAATGACATCATATGATGTAACATCCTGTCACATGACTCGTTAGAAACATCACTCTATGCATAAATAATTATTATAAATAATAATAATAATAATCAATACTTTTAAAAAGGACATGTTGATTCTGCCATTAACAGCTGCATATGTTCTATTGATCCAGTCCACATCATGTGAGCCAGGGTCTTGTGACTGATGGTCCTTACTCCCAGCAGCTGTACTGGTGGTGTCTCTGTCTGTTTGAATTTCATGTAATTGTTTTTCTAATAAAAGCACCTGGAAAGAGAGAGAGAGAGAGAAGACATTAATAAAAGGAAAGGGAGAGAGTGATCTACTTTATTGGTAAGTTGCTCCTCCTTTCTCTCCGTTTCTCTTATTATCATTTCCAGCTGGTTATTCTTAACATTCAACCTTTCACACTCATTCCTTAGGTCAGTCAACTCTCTCTCCTTTACAGCAAATATCTCTTCACTAGCCAACAAATCAGACTAGAAATCAAACAAATAAATAATTTAAAATCCAATACTATACAGCTGTAATATACGTCATACTTTATATTTCTCAATTTCTCTCTTCAGTGAGTCAATAGCTTCTCCTTCAACTGGAGTGATCTGAAAACAAAGGCACAGGAAAAGTTATAACTTACAATAAAAATAAATTAAAAATAATAATAAATTTAAAAAAAAATTAATTTAAGGTGTGGCAACTAACAGCATCGTCTTTAAATATTGCTGAGTCAGCATGTTGCAATCTAGTTCTGAGGTTCTCAATTTCATCTCTCATTGCAATTACTGCCGCTGCTTGAGGATCTACATTAACTATTGGATGGTTCTTAATATTACGAGCCTAAAAATAAATATTATAATAATTATTAAAATTATAATTATTGATATTAATTACTCTTTTGGCATATTTCAGTGTGTTGAGTGTTTCCGGCAAATCTTTTTCACACGGAGAGAGACACGTGATCATTAATGTGTGGGCGTGACCTCCTAAAGAATCTTTTAATAGACGAGTGATTTTAGAATCTCTAAGAAGAGAGAATAAAAGTAATAATAATAATAATAATAATAAAAGTAAAAAACCAAAAACCAAAAACCCATTAGTTCCATTGTCACGAAATCTGTGACAACTTTAGACCAAATTTAAAGCAAATTAAAAATTCATAAAAAATTCAATTTCGATTGGAATCAACTCAAACTTTCTACACAACATAAGAACATGTATATGCATCAGAAAAAATATAAAAATTAAAAATTCTCAAAATTTCATTTTTGGCGAAATTTGGCCAAAGTCACTGTACTATAGTACAGGGTCTTTGGCTCAATTTTGGAGTAACTTTAAAAATTCATAAAAAATCCGTATTTGATTGGAATCAATTCAAACTTTCTACACAATATAAGACCATGTATATGCATCAGAAAAAAATATAAAAATGAAGAATTCTAAAATTTTCACTTTTGGCAAAATTTGGCCATTTTGGACCAATTTTTGAGTAACTTTAAATGATATAAAAACTGATCCTTACCTGTATGGTATGTGAGATGATTTCCTGTTGTGTTCAGTTAAAGCATTAATGACATTACCTAGTGCCAACAGTCCACCATTAATGTGTACTGACTCTAATAATAATAATAATAATAATAACTATCTACTTTCTATATTAATAATGATGATATAATAATAGTAATAATGTTTAATCACCTTTAAATCGTTCTCCAGTGTTATGTGTCCTATTAGCTCTCTCTGATCCTGCCAGATCAACAAAAGTAAACTTTGAAATTATTCTATTGAAAAGTGCAGCCTCCTCATTAACAACAGCAGCAGCTGCAGAGTCAGTCCTCCCTCCTCCTCCTTTCTCTTCATCAGTGAGTACTGGTAATGTAATCCTCTTATCTTGAACTAAAAGAAATAATTAAGAATATAAAGGACCCTCCCCCTTCCCCTCCCTCCCTAACTTATTGTCAGTATGAAGGCTACGTGTGATCTACTAGAGTGAACATTCATCTCTGTTGCCATGGTAACTCGTACAGCATTCCCCGTCTCCAATAGATTGAGTGCCTCATCAACTGAACTGATCTCCTCCTCAACCACTCCCGATAAAACTAAAAACAGTATATTTGAACCAATCATTAGTATAAGTCAGTACATTCTAGTATACTAACCAGTATATTCTAGTGCATGTCAGTATACTAACCGGTTCTTCCAGATTCATCTTCTCTGATATTAATATCGCATTCATTGTCGGAGAGTAAATCTCTAATATCCTCTTTATACACTTCAACATACGATACACTCAACTGACACGCCTCTCTCTTATCAGCCATGCCCCCATCAGTGACCACACCCCCTTTGAGGTAACCAAACAGGTCATGTAGTGTACGTGGTATGATCCCATCAGTAGCTCCTCCTCCTTCACAAAGGGACTGTCCCTCACTGCCCAGTGTATAGGTTTTACCGGACCCTGTCTGACCGTAAGCAAATACCGTACAGTTGATACCTTGGAGACATTTCAAAACTAATGGACGAACACACTCGGAATATACATCAACCTGAGAATGGATGGAGAGAGAGAGATAGATAGATTTTGTGTAACATTGTAGTTATTTATTATTCATTATTATTGACTCCTCCCATTAGTACATAGTGCAACCCGTTGGTAACTAACTTGGTTTAAAGTTGGTGGGAAGACGCGGTCAAATCTAAAAGCCTTCCCATTGGTCAGTTTGAGCTGATCACGTGATGTGCATGTGACACAATTAGAGGAACCATCACTGACTTCACTTGCTGACAAAGGACGTACCTATTTAAAAATAAAATATAAATAAATAGTTTCACTTAGTTACTCTTGCACAGACAGCCACAGGTACTTGGGACATTAGTTGCAAGGACACAAATTAGAATTTACATGTAGCAAGGGGTTAAAATTTCAGCCAGGGTTATATCAACAATGAATATTATTATAAGATACCTATTTCCAGGAATTTTTTGTTTTTACAGTTGAAGTGAGCCTAGTTCTTGGAATAGGAAATAAATAGTCCCTCGAGGTTGCATTTTAAAGTTAGTGGCATAAGTGTCCACAGGCTCAGTCTAGATTCAAGCAGTCATGTCTAGAAAGATAGCATCAATAGCTGCTCCTTTGGCATTCGTGGCTTTAAAAGAAAAAGCAAGGTTGGAGCAATCTATTCAATGGTAATATTTTTATGTTCATGACCTACTCATTAGATATCAAAGAACAGAAATTGCAGAACTGGAACAGTAAGTCTATGCAATGACATTCACTATAACTATGTGTACTAGGGAATTAGATCAGCTGGAAAAAAAGCATAAACAGATCAAAAAGTAATTCACAATGTTACAAGTATTATAGACATACATTTTGACAGTGAACTTGATAATGAAATTAAAGATCTTGAAGATAAGGAGAAGGAACTTCAAGAAAGGTATGCATACAATAATAATTGTTGATAACTATAGTCATTTTGTAGTTTACAATCATGTCAGTATGATCAAGATACACTCAATAAAATAGAGAGGCGATTTCTAAGAGAACGAGATGGTGATGATAGTGCTTTAAGACAAAAGGAGGTAGATCTAGACTAAATTATTATGCATTTATTCATTATACTCAATTGTAGAGGCTGAAGGGAATCTATGATGAAATGGTGAAATTGATAATTGGAAAAAATTTCAGTAAATACCTCGAGTCTCTGCTAAAAGTTGATGACAAAACCAAGACAGCTCCTGCTACTCATGATAGTTGGGATACAAAGGAAGAGTACAAGATCTACGGTCTTCTCATTAGTGCTTGCAAAGTAAAGACAATGGAACACACTGATATTAGAATTAAAGAGGTAGATATACTGTATACCAATAGATTTATAACCGAGTTGTTCCATGATAATTTAGGGAAAAGGTGGTGCTAACATGGAAAAAGAAGCTAAGCCTGAAAACCAAGATGGTGCTACTGTGACAAATGAAGCTGTCAGCAATTCTAAAAAGGAAGGGGCTGCTGATGTTGATCTTACAAATGCAGCCATTATACAGAATGAATCAAAGCAAGTGGAGAAAGAAGGTATATCCCTCACTGACTCTGAGAAAGAGGCATATTGTAAAAATCAAGAAGAAGCAAGGAAACTCACATTTGACATGCTGAAGCTGCTACCGCCACTAGTGGTCTGTCAACCGACAGCTTACAATGACGACCTTCAAGATACTAACAGGATGACTTGGGATGAGGCAAATAATGATGAACCTACATTGTTTTATTACCGCCCTGTCCTAGTGTACAGTAATCACTTGCATACTGCTGTTAAAGGGTTGGTGGGGAATAAGAAAGTTAAGCCTCAACCAAAAAGTGTTTTGTCTCCAGATAATACAAGTACATTGCAAGAAAAAAAGAAAGATGATCCATCAGACCTAGAAGAGAAGCAAGTAGATTCATCAGAAGAAAAGAAGAAAGAATTACCAGAGGAAAAGAAGGAAGAATTACCTGAAGAAAAGAAGGAAGAATCATTAGAGGAAAAAAAAGAAAAATTACCAGAAGAAAAGAAGAAAGAATCACCAGAAGAAAAGAAGGAAGAATTACCAGAGGAAAAGAAGGAAGAAGTACCAGAGGAAAAGAAGGAAAAAGTGCCAGAAGAAAAGAAGGAAGAATCACCAGACGAAAAGAAGGAAGAAGTACCAGAGGAAAAGAAGGAAAAATCACCAGAAGAAAAGAAGGAAGAATCACCAGAGGAAAAGAAGGAAAAATTACCAGAGGAAAAGAAGGAAAAAGTGCCAGAAGAAAAGAAGGAAAAATTACCAGAGGAAAAGAAGGAAAAAGTGCCAGAAGAAAAGAAGGAAGAATCACCAGAGGAAAAGAAGGAAAAATTACCAGAGGAAAAGAAGGAAAAATTACCAGAGGAAAAGAAGGAAGAAGTACCAGAGGAAAAGAAGGAAAAATTACCAGAAGAAAAGAAGGAAGAATCACCAGAGGAAAAGAAGGAAAAATCACCAGAAGAAAAGAAGGAAGAAGTACCAGAGGAAAAGAAGGAAAAATCACCAGAAGAAAAGAAGGAAGAATTACCAGAAGAAAAGAAGGAAAAATCACCAGAAGAAAAGAAGGAAAAATTACCAGAAGAAAAGAAGGAAAAATCACCAGAAGAAAAGAAGGAAGAAGTACCAGAGGAAAAGAAGGAAAAATCACCAGAAGAAAAGAAGGAAGAATTACCAGAAGAAAAGAAGGAAAAATCACCAGAAGAAAAGAAGGAAAAATTACCAGAAGAAAAGAAGGAAGAATTACCAGAAGAAAAGAAGGAAGAATCACTAGAAGAAAAGAAGGAAGAGTCACCAGAAGAAAAGAAGGAAGAATCACCAGACGAAAAGAAGGAAAAATTACCAGAGGAAAAGAAGGAAAAATTACCAGAAGAAAAGAAGAAAGAATCACCAGAGGAAAAGAAGGAAAAATTACCAGAAGAAAAGAAGGAAGAATCACCAGAAGAAAAGAAGGAAAAATCATCAGAAGAAAAGAAGGAAGAATCACCAGAAGAAAAGAAGAAAGAATCACCAGAGGAAAAGAAGGAAAAATTACCAGAAGAAAAGAAGGAAGAATCACCAGAAGAAAAGAAGGAAAAATTACCAGAAGAAAAGAAGGAAGAATCACCAGAAGAAAAGAAGGAAAAAGTGCCAGAAGAAAAGAAGGAAGAATCACCAGAGGAAAAGAAGGAAAAATTACCAGAGGAAAAGAAGGAAGAAGTACCAGAGGAAAAGAAGGAAAAATTACCAGAAGAAAAGAAGGAAGAATTACCAGAAGAAAAGAAGGAAAAATCACCAGAAGAAAAGAAGGAAGAAGTACCAGAGGAAAAAAAGGAAAAATCACCAGAAGAAAAGAAGGAAGAATTACCAGAAGAAAAGAAGGAAAAATCACCAGAAGAAAAGAAGGAAGAGTCACCAGAAGAAAAGAAGGAAG